ATAATTTTAGCAACTAAACGTTTTATATTTAGTTGAACAGCTGAGTCTTAAATTTTTATCACTAAGAATTTCTGAAATCAACATGTAACTATAACTATTTAATATTCATTTGCTTTACAGTTATTATACAAATAAATTATGATAATGTCTATTGATAAGTGATTTTAACTTGAACTAACGTTATGTAATCAATAAATAAATGATTTCACCGACATTTAGAGTGTAAACAATTTATATTTAACATCTATTTGAACAGTGAGCACTATTATTTAATTATTGGTTGAAATTGTGTTAATTTTAATACAACGTTATTTGAATTTGAAATTTATCCATTTTGGTTGGTAGATATATTAAATCTAAAATACATTTGAATTTGAACCTAACATTATAACTTGTAACTACCTACCCATTGACCAATGGAAGCACTTGTGTTTATCTTGTTGTTCAGTTATTTTCAAATTTCCCTCCATTTATATAGTTAATGTTTACATTTTTCGTGCAGGAAAGCTCCTGTACTTGATAATGTGATACGGTAATAATTTGAAAATGTAAACACTAAATTCACAATATAGTTTTGATAAATTTTTAAATAAATTGTCGTCGTTATAAATATGGTACGAACAAACGGATATTATACATGACAAATAATTGTTGATCCGTATTTTAGCTGCTGATGTCTGTATCGTGGAGAAATCCGAGTCGTAATATTTACTACTGTTCAAAGTGTTCATATCGTAATGATACTATTAYATTGATAGTGGCCGTGTTATCGAAACGTCGTCGGATGATAATAATAATATTATTCCTGACCCATCACTGATGGTTTTCAAAATGAAYGAACGCTAATTTCGCACTCTTGCCGTCGACGATCTCGCATGTGTTTATTGCTCGTTCAGGTGATGGAGTAGTGTTGATGGACGATGTCGTCGAAAGTACCGGCGGGCCCCCGTGAAGTCACGATAACGAAGAGCGTCACCGGCTTCGGATTTAACGTTCGCGGTCAGGTTAGCGAGGGCGGTCAACTTAAGAGCATAAATGGTCAACTCTACGCTCCTTTGCAGCACGTCAGTGCCGTGCTCGAAGGAGGGGCGGCCTACGACGCGGGGATTCGAAAAGGAGACAGGATCCTCGAAGTGTAAGGCTCGTGCTTGTGCGCTTTGTTTGTTTCTTTTCTCGTCACGAGTCTGTCCATTATCTATGGATGGGATGTGAATCCCCGCGCGGATTCGTGACGAAAAAACTCGAAAAACCCCAAAAAACTTCACAATACTGTGTTTGTTGTTTAGGAACAATGTGAACGTCGAAGGATCAACACACAAACAAGTCGTAGACYTGATCAAATCGGGCGGTGATGTGTTGACGCTGACTGTAATTTCTGTTACACCTCARGTATGTGCAAAATATTTTGATTATTTTCTGTTTTTAAGAGATAAGCATGGTTAATAAAAAATATTTTTCAATTGTTGAACAGATTTTTAAACATATCGATTCAATTTATTGCATTCAATAACAAATAGCATTTTTCACTTTTACACTTTTCCTTAAATCTGATACCTATTATTCGCCTAAATTAAGTTATAGAAAAATTATAGTAGCTAACACAATATTTCCAACTMATAATTTAAAAAGAAATCAATGTAAGATTGGTTTTATATACTTGATAAACAGTAAAGGTTAAATTTTTCAAATATTATCAGTTATGACCTGATTAAAACATTAATAGGACGTTGTACCCTYTGTGTTATTACTTTCTTACTTACGTTTAACTACCAAATTTTACTTTCAGAATATTACAATTTACTATTATGATTAACTTTAGAATGATTTGACCTATTATCAAGCTTAAAGGTAAGTACCTATTACTAAGAGCTCCAATTAGATTTTTTTTTGATTTTTAATTTTGAGCATTTTAAATTTTACAAAAAATACAATTTCAAATACTCTTATATTTAAAACGTAAAAATTTATGTGGCCTAGATAATAGTCTTGTCTTTATACTTGATAATAGATCAATTTAATTAAATATTACAAAATTGACTTTATTCCGTATGCACATTTTTTTATATGTTGACCATATTAAGACTGAAAAAATTCATGCAGATATAGCATCCTCTTACAGATACACAAACAATGATTTTACTCTTGTAATAGTGATGTCAAAGTTTATTCTTAATTATGTAGATATAAAGTTTATCAGAGTTAAACATTGTTATGTAGATTATTGAATGTTTAAAATATAATAAATTAAAACTAAAATTTTAATAAAATAGTTACTTAATAATCATACATAAAAAATCATTAATCAAAACATAAGTTACTGGTGATGACTATGTGATATTTCACGTAACAAATTTTATACTCATTTAGGTTCCTACTACCTATAATAATAAAAAAAAGTAATCTTGTAAGAGTGAATCATTATGATAATAATAATTATAATATTGCAATATAGTTTTTAATGACATCATAATTTTCAAATATTTTTTTACCAATGATATTGCCACATATTTTTGTTTCCATTGTGGCTATGACATGGGATAAACAAAATGTTTTCAAATAGGTACTGATCCTAGTTGCAGCAAAAAAAAATGGTCCAAGAATAATATATTAAACTTTTATTTTATAATATTTTTATTYATCAATAACTTAAATTATAAATACTGCCCGACAAATTATTTAGTGATCATTTAATAAGTAGAAATAGTACTATCATAGGACTTATTCATTTTTTACTAAATAACTAAAACA